GATGTTAGCCGTGTAGTCTGTTAGATATCTGCATGGAGGAATCTGAACTCTCCATCTTAAGGGTTAGAATAAAAAGTGACGCCGTGTAGTTTACCAAATTACTGGACGTGAATCCCAGAAGACAATTTTTTCTTTGTAGAAAAAGGGTGGAGTTTCCTGTGCCGTTATATCGACTGCGCTTCTCGGGCGCTCTCAGTATTTCTTTTAGGCCTCAGTTTCCGTTTAAAAGTTCTCGCCAATTTCAATATATAGGTCCATAATGAAACATTTTAAGGACAGAAAGAGTAATGATTTCTTCCGAGAAGTCGTTGTTGGTGCTATTGACATTACATTAAAAAAAAGACCAAAGTCCAATTCTTAACACCCAATGTTGAAGTAAAAAAATCTGTTCCGAATTTGTAATTTTCGTGAGAATGGCGACAGATGAATTTTTTTGTGTGGAAAAAATAATGATAGATATAAAATATGTCTAAGCAATGCCCAACCGGTCTAGGCGACATAACGAAAAAGTTTGTTGGCAGAGCCCTCTGCTGAGTAGAATTAGTACTACAAGTTCTCCAGCCCCTTTCAGTACTCTGTCCTCTCTGACCTCTCTGAGCGTCACGACCGGTCAGACCTTTCACCAGCAAGGTTAAGTGTAAATAACATAACACGACTGCGCCTCGAAGATTTAAATAAATCTGTCGCTGATTAGTAGAAACAAACACAATTATCTTAAGAGATGACAGTTGAACCCAACCTTACAGCCTTAAGTTGTAGTTTAGAGGCCTATAGTGTTTGTTAGCATGCTCGCGGTTATTTCACTCATACATTTGAAATATTATGGTCAGTAAAATACAGACAGGTAAATAAAAGATTTTCTTTAATATAAAACGCAACCGTTCGGCACTGCTGGTAGAACCGAAAACGGAGTATGCATGTTGTTGCGACGGAAGTAGGGGTATAACCTCAACTACTAATCCGACTGTATTTTTAGGGTTATAGGACTACTGTGTTAATTATTCAAAGAGACTCATTTTTCTCAGTCGTTCGTGCCCATACGTATCCAATGTCATGGAATTTCTGTCTTTTCTCGAATAGTTTGGAACACATTTCGTATACCTGCAAGTGAAGAAGAAATAAAGGTTCAACATTACAGACGTAAAGGTGGATTTCCCCATCATGGTAATGTGACAGTGTATGATAAAAATGTCATAATTTCAAGTGCGTTGGTTAACTGGGGATAATGTTGATTTTTTAAAAATATAACTTAGTTTGGGTGAACGGAGAAGATGCTTCCTTGGGCGGAACTTTTTTAGTGCCTTTATTGTTATGCGCTTTATATTCTAGAACACAGACATGTATGTTACAAACCTAAAATTCCACACAACAGCACAAATCTGAGTCTTGGTTAGATATAATACAGTAAAATTATTAATATATAGGTTAGAGTGGTCACAGTGGTGGTGAATTACTAACCTTTTGAAGTGTGGGTAAAGTCCCTTTCCTTAACTAATTAAGTACTGTGCCATGAAGGCATATTGATGTATAGATCCACATTTTTTTACCTTGGTACTGGTTGGAGATGAATGGTCAGCTTCGCTCCCTAGCCACTTTACCTCCCGTGAAAGAGCCCCAGGTACCCATTGAGTAGGAGGCTGTATGGGCCTCAGGGCCAGTCTGGGTGACATGGAGAAGAGAAAATTTTAGACCTAATAAGGTCTTGTACTCCAGCCCCTTTGTTGTCCAGCCCATAGCCAGTTGTTTTGGGAACCAAATGAAACCTTGTTGGAGAAATACGGAGTTATTATTTAAACATTAAAGTAGGTGATACATTTAGTTATTACTGAACAGCATCTCCAGGGAACTAACTTCACATTGCAGAAATGCTCTTGAGAATCTTAAGGTTGCTGAACTGGTTATCCATTACAATGGTCTTCAACAGCTTGCCTCTGGGTCCTGTCCTGAACCACCTGAGTGTGGTCTACCCTCATTTTTTTAAGATCTATTATAATGTTCTTTTCCCATCTGTGCCTAAATCTTTCCACTTCATATTTTCCAACTGAAATTTTGTATGCATATCTTATTGAAGTTTGTGCTGCCTGCCAAACTCATAATGTAACTGTTTCCATCCTATTAGTCCTTCCTGTGTCTCTAGATATTCTCAGGACTTTATTTTTAAAAACCCTTGATCTGTATTTCTCCATCAAGAAAAGAAAAAAGTTTGACGTCCAAATAAAACAACATGTAAATGATGGATTTATATATTTTAATTTTTAGCTTTGAAGCTAATTATGTCCTTGGGGAGGTAGCAATATAATCCATATTGAAGTAAAGTTATTTCAGATATTACAGAGGTATCTGTGTTTGATTATCAGTCTTCGGGCTGATTTCAACTGAAGAACTTGGCTGGACACTGACCCATGAGCACCTCCCATTTGCATATGATAAGTTTTATATTGCACCACCAGAGCAGATGAAGATATTTCTTGAAAATAAAATCACACTTGAGATTGTTGGATTTACCAGACAGAATCCGTAAGTTAGCCATGTTGTGAAATGTACAAATAACACTGTGGTATCAGAATGTAAAGGGCAGACTTCACTAATACCAAAGCCTGCCATTGCACATGATCTTGAGCCAGTTCCATCCACTGCCCATCCTAAAATCCTACTTTTCTAAGATCCATCCTAGTGTTATCCTCCTGTCCACTTTGCTAAGAGGTTTTCCCACCAAAATTATGTTTCCCCGTTTCTGACCACAATCACAATGTAGTGTACTCTTTGTAATTTCACTATCCAATTGGTACGAATGAATGAATATATAAGGGGTGGGCTTCTTGGCCCTTGCACTGCATCCACAGTGATCTATTGTGCCTCCCCTTCTGATTATCCCCTCAACAATCTTGCCCTTCAAATGAAGCATAGGATTTTGTACGTGGGATGTCGAAATAGTCACTTGGTTCCATAAAATATTGACCCAAGTGACACAGTCTTAAATAAGCTAAGGCCTCACGTTCACACAGGATATGTGTGGCTGTTTCATTTTCTTTTTGACACCTTTCACAAGTTGGACTATTACTTAGTCCCAGTTTGGGGCTGCACCATAGCTCAAGCGGTTAGTTGCTGGCTTCCCACCACGGTGGCCTGGGTTCGATCCTGGGTCTGGTCAAGTGGGATTTGTGGTGGACAAAGTGGCACTGGGGCAGGTTTTCTCCGAGTACTTTGGTTTCCCCTACCAATCTTCATTCCACCAGTTGCTTCACAATCACCCTCACCTATCATCTGGGGCTGGTACAATATGCCAGAAGTGGCCACAGTACAAGGGACTTAGTCCCACCCCACTAACAATAAAAAAAATAGTCCCAGTTTGAAGATGTGTCCTTTGAGGTGACAGTGTCCTGTAAGTAGTCCTACCACCCATCGTAGCTGGTTCCTGTTTAACTTCAGCAGTTCCTTCGCTCTTTTAGTAGATGATCCTCATATGCTTGCCACAATCGGTAGTAAGTAAGCAGTATAAATCACACTCTTCCTCACTATTTAATATTCTAATTTGCTCAGTTACTTTATCCTTTTAGGTCAAGATATTTTCCTGAGCACTCTGGTTTTAAACATTATTATCTTCGGGTCTTCCCTCGGAGCACAAGACCACATTTCACACATCTTTATATGGATCAGCTGATAAAATTGCTGTTCTGTAAATCTTGGTGTTCAACTTTTTTAAAGTAGACTCAGAGTTCACCTTACGACACCCATTGTTGTTTTTGCTGGTATTTCTACCGCTGATACTACTACTACTACTATTACCTATTACTACTGCTGCTACTACCACTACCACTACTACCACCACTACCACCATTACTATTGCCGATTTCATGTAAACTCTTATTTCTTTGTGGTTTGAAAATATCCTGTTATTTGTCCTTGGTAATGGAATCTTCTATCTACTATGGGGCCAAGGGTCAATTATGGTCAGTTGATGATGCAGGCTGTTAGGTCATTATTAAAACTTTGCTGGAGTATATTTTCAACTTCCATCCAGCATTCATACACTTGTGGGAAATCTTCAGGGCACAGAACTTTTCTTCCATAAGGTTTTCTTCACGAAGTATGATGTACCCTGGTTCCTATACTTAATCATATTTTTCATGTGGTTTCTGTGTGAAATTGATCAAAGATGTGTTCTGATTCCACATATAATTTCGCCTTGGCATCCTCCCTCCTTATCTTCAGTTGGGACATGCATATTTACAAGTAAAATCACACCACCAACCCCGAACAATAATGTATCATTAGCAAACTCTGCTTTCTTATCAGCAATTTCAAGATGCTTCTTGACTTTGGAGCCAGATCTGAAGCTGTGATTCCTCCATTTTCTATTGTAAAATACATACATCTGTTCTCATTCATATACTCGTCAGGTAATCTGACCCGTGTTCCTGCTGTTGTGAACTTGTAACTAAATTCTTGGCGCCATGGAGCAATTTCTTCTCAAGAAGCTATAGTCAAGAAATTACACCCCTTCTATGGAACTCACAGGTTCATTACTGTGTTTACAAGAGTCAACCACTACACCCTAGTGAGACCAAGTGCACGTCCTCACATACTGTTTCTTTAAGTCCTATTTTAATATTATCCTCTCATCTACACCTAAGATGTCTGAGTAGTTTCTTGGAAAAATTTTCTTTTCATTTCTCATCTCTGCCATCATCTGCCCCATCAATCTCATCCATCCTAATTTGTTTAAACTAATAATATTTAGTGGAAATTAAATTATGAAATTCCTTGTTATGCAGCTTTCACCACCCCCTTATTATCTCCTTTCTCTTAGGTCCAAATATTCTTCCCAGCCAACCGTTCTCAACCCTTTCAGTCTGTTTTTCCCGTAAGATCACACAAAAGAGGCAAAGTTGTCCCTGTGTTTAATTAGTTAAGTATAGCTCCGCCTTTCTTGATCTCGGCACTAGATGGAGGTGAGTGATCAGCTTCACGCCCCTGCTTCTTTACCCCTGAGGAAAGAGACCCAGTAACCACTGGATAGGAGACTGGGTAGGCTCAAGAGTTGGATGCTTTGGAGAAGGGAAAAATCTTGCACTGGCAGGAAGCAGACCCAGGCCCTTGAGCCCATAGCCCATTGGTATACTGACTGAGCTATCCCCAGTCCTTCCCTTAGGATGAGAAACAAGATTTTACAGCCTCACAAAAATACAGGTAAAACTGTAGTTTTAATGTTTATGATTTTATATAGAAAAATGGAAGTCATAATATTTTGAAATGGGTTATAGCAACCATCTTATAAATTGAATCTGCTCTTAATTTCTTTGTGAGTCTGACTCATATTTGTTACTTTGTGAATAAGGTAGGAAAAACTCAAAAACTCATGTTCAGTCGCTTCTTTGTAAAATGAATGTGATACTTCCTTCACAGGTACAGTAACAAGTACAAAGTGCAGTTTAATGGTGCAGATGCACATGCAGTAGTGCTGCATGACAAACCTGCACAAAAAATTTGGGGGAAGCTCAGTTGTGGAGAACACATCACATGGTCTGCAGAGAAACCTGCAGTTTATGAAGGAAGTCAGCCTGAAGTCAGGAGTTCATCTCATTGCCGGTACAGGTAATAGTCTAACCGAAATATACATATTTTTCAAATTAATTCTTCAAAATGTTGCATACCTCATTGCCATTGTTGTTCATGTTTTTGCAGATGCAAGCCTGATAATGAAAAACTAATCAGACTGTTTGCAATAATAAATTATTTTTGTGTTATTTTCTGTTACCACCTCTGTAGGGTATTATAGTCTGATGACTGATTATGATATTATAGCCTCTCATTTGGGACTTTACTTTGTCACCAAATGCTAGGAATATTGTGAGCAATGAATGTGGTAGGATATGCAGTGGGGACCAGTATTAAGACCTAATCACAGTTTTTTTTTGACAAGCCTGAAGAAAGGCATGGAATACATCAGTCAGGATAAATTATGTATTGGCAAATATTTGAACCCATGACTTCCTGACTATGAAACAGTGCTACAAATATGGCATTCTTTTGAGTTGGTGAATTTCTGTTGTTGGATAATTTGATGGTCTGTTGATGCTAGGTTACTATCTCGCCAGTGTACAGCCTCCAAACCTTCTGCTTCAGTCTCAGGAAACTATGTACAACTTGATGCTAACAGAACTCACTATGCAGTGTGTGGAACATCATGACATTAAGTGTGGCTTCATTGGTGAAGTTGGAAGAAGTTGGCCTCTGCATGGTGAGCCAATTTTGAACCCACAGACATGTTGCTAGTTCTGAATTTTGTTTCTCTTCATAAAGTGTGTCGTCAAACCACTTTATTGTAGAGTTTGAGAAGGGGGTAATCCAAGCTACAGGAGAACTTCAGATGGAATTGGGTTGCCCAGTCAGCTTCCATTCTGGCAGAGACCCTGAACCTCCATTTGAAATAATTCGTTTGTTCCCAGAGGCTGGTGGAGATGTCAGTAAAGTTGTCATGTCGCATCTGGAGAGTAAGTTTAATGATTTCTTGGTTTTGATTTGAATTGTATACAAACTGTTAACAGCTATATATGCACATACCTACCTACCTACCTACCTACCTACCACTCGGCTCTACAGCCCTGCATGAACCTTGGCCCCTCTACAACCAGTCTCCACTGCATTCTATTCGTCATCTTCTCTATCCATCCTTTGACCTTCATCTTCTTCAGGTCATTCTTAACATTGTCTAGCCATCTCATATTCCAAGTTACTGTCACAATATCATTGTTACTTGTCCTTTGCTTAGCCTATTTCTCATATGTTCCACTTATCCGAGGCTGGTTGTTGGGTTTATGAACAAAATTCTTTCTACAGGATGAGGTTGTTAGCCTCATGCCAAACCCTGAACCTGGAGGACCAGCGTATCTCTCTTAGTCTGGGCTCTACCCTTTGATATTTCCTTCATGGGTGATCCTACTGGTAGTTAATCTACTGCTGGCATAGCTCTCCAGGTCACAGAGTCACACAAGCCCCACCACCATGACAAGGTTTTTTGAGTTACCCATTGTAGAGACTTTATAAATATGAATTTCCACAAAACATGAGACTGTAACTAGAATAAACATGTGCCATTGATGATTCTTAAGATATTTAATAATGATGTATCAACTGCAGAGGTTATGTGGTGTCAAGAGATATGAGAAGATGATCACAGGTAGTGTGTAGGTAAGGAAAGGATTTAGAAGGTGGGGCTCATGCCATATTTTAAGATACTGTTCTCATCTTTTCCAGAGGAGTACACTGATGTATATGTGGAGAAGAAGGGCAGGTGCAACATCTAAACTACCACTTGCACTTGAAGGGTATTAATAAAATCTCAGGCTGTGAGCTGTGTCAGTTGGTTTGAAATGACCACTGTTTCAGGGATGACCTTTGTCCTGATCATCAGGATGTGATGCAACATTGGGTCCAGACTGTCCTGCTGTATAGTAGCCCCTAGCTCATGATCGCAACTGGACACCAGCTAATGGAAAGCTAATGTGTGGAGTCATGGGTTTGCTTGGCTTGGTCTTATTTCGCAATTGGTGTATCTCTGTACTGCTTTATTATATTAGTTACCAGGTACCAGGACTGACTGAGATTGGAACCTCCATCCCTATTAAAGTTTCTGGGGTGCAGCCAGATGTCAGTATCATCCTGTATCAACACGCAGTCCATATATCCAGGTGCTTTATCTAGTAAGGAGGTGCTACTGAAGCCATTACTGTGCCTGTTTGAAGCTTGTGCTCTGTAACTGCTGACTTCTATGGCTAGCTGAGGCACATATGTCTCATGTTCATTCTTTGATTTCCCCGACTTCTCTGGCTGGCCCAGGTGTACATGTCTCATATATTCATATGTTCTGAATCTATAATTAATTTTAGCAGATGTATGACACCCCAAAAGAAGATATTCATTTTATTGGAATTTAAATTTTCCAGACCCTGACCAACACTTGACTGGAATGTGATTTTGCAAACACCACACTGTCTCTGACAGACATTGTAAAAGTGTTAAAATAATAGTCATTCATTAATTTAAAAAATGTTTCTGTTTGATAAATACTGCACATTTATGAAATGTGCCTAACAAAAACTGTTTAATCTTCATAAAGATAGAATTCAGTACATCATGAGACATGCATGTACAAATGCAGATGTGTACACACACATGCATGCGCACACTATGATTTCTTCACCTCTGTCCAGGGACACTGTATAAGGATGATCAGCTGCTGGAATTTGCTGCACTGGGCAGTTACTGTCAGTTTGACTTGTTTGGAAATGAATGTTCGTTCTATCAGATAAGCCCTGCAGATGACATGCCATCAGATGCTCAGAGAATACAGAAGCTAATGTAGCTGATTTAAGGAAAAAGGAATGACAGAATTCTTATAGAACATGATATTCACACAAAGCATTGGCTGGTAATTGCAGCTTATATGGTCTCCCCTCCCTCTCTTTTGCTCAAAAACTTGTGAAAAAAGCAAAGGACAGAACCTTAAAATGAACCATGATCACTTCCTCCAACATACACTATGACTCAGTATTCAAAATCATTCCAGCATGTGTCATTCAGTACTGCAAAATCTCATTAGGAGATACAGAGCTCCACCCTTATTCCTCCCTTATCCTTTAATATCTATTTTATGATCACATTATGTGTTACATACATTTCACTGTTAAAGTTTTTTATTATTTATTAGAAATACATTAAATTGATGTGTTGTGGGGAAGTGATATTTCTCTGCTCATGTTTTCTTTCATCTCCAGACTATTCAAAAGATTTCAATGGAGTCTGATACTGGAAGAGGCTTCTCTCTAAGTTGTCAGGGGAATTTTGTTTTGGTCACCATCAGTTCAAGGGATTAATACCCATTTTACTTAATGCTTAGTAAAGTAATGTAAGTAAAGGTATCCCCATAACAGGCCATGGAGGCCCATAGGGTTGTGAGATGTTGAGGCTCCCACATTTTCTAGGCAATCAGTTTATGGATGGCGGCAAGGTTTTCAGCCCTTTACTCCCAAGAATATTCTTAGTACTCATTTCTGTTAGAGGCTTAGTCGAACCCAGGGCCATAGTGCGGCTGGAAGGATTAGGTCAATTGAAAAAATCCAGTGACATCATCAGGACTTGAACCCGCAACCTTCTGGCTTGTAGCATAATGCCTGAACCAACTACGCTAATGCTTAGACTGAAGTTTATTAATCTTGACAATTTTGGTCTTGTGGATTATGATGTAATGTAGTTTTGTAGGCAGATACCAATGTTTTGGTTGAACATGGTGCCTCCATCTTCAGGGTTGCATTGTGTAAGTTCAGGAGTAGGCTTGGTTATGTAGGGAAATTATGAGAAAAGTGTCTGTGGGGGTCTAGGGAGAGGGTTAAGAAAATGAACCCTCTTTGATCCAGTGGGAAGGAATGGATGAAAAGAAGTCCTTATAAGTAGCATGGTGGTTATTGTCTCAGGTGAAAAAATGAATAATGAGAAGTAAACAAATGTTTCCAGGGATCCACTGTTATCAGGAGGAAAATGGAATTGTGTGAAAAATAAAAAAAAAAACCCTTTTCAGGAAGGTAAGTTTTTTCTCACAGGAAGGAAATTTGAACTGAGAATGGGGAAAATGACAGCCCCTCTCAGGACTCCAGTGGTGGGAAGTTGGGAAATGAGGAAACAGCTATTTTTCATACCTTGGGGGCCCGGTTTAATGGAGTGTTCTTTAGTGGAAAGTAACTGGTTTATCCTTGGAGAGAAACTTGTTCTTCCATTCTTTCTGGGAGTCGATGAGAGGCTTCCACAATCTGTTCAGGGAGAAAACGTTCTCCCTGTTCACTCGCTTCATAGCATTCCTATATTACTAAGGCTGGTCCTGAATGTACACACAAATCCTGAAGATGGCAGAATACTCTTCCAGAACGTCGGTATGGACCGACAAAACCACCCACCATCACAACTCAAAAGACAACAATAATACGTAGGTCATACCGAAAGTCATGAGCAAGTTTTTTTGCATGCAACCTGGGAGCAGAAGATGAAAGAGAGTACAGTGGTAGGTTGAACCAGCTGTTGTGTTAACCTTGAGTGTCTTGTGACGTCAATAGCTTGCATCACGTGACCAGTATCACTCCTAACAAAATGGCCGACAACGATATGTCGTTTCGCCAGCGTGCTGTCATCAAATTTTTTGTGAAAGAGGAAATCCCTGCTGCAGAAATTCACCAGAGACTTCAGGGTGCTTATGGAAGTGTGTGCATGGGTGCGAGCAGTGTTCGAAGATGGGTGAAACATTTTGAAGATGGGAACACCTGCATCGAAGATGAGCCTCAGAGCTGTCGTCCTCGAACAGCCTCAACTGAACGCAACAAGGAAAGAGTGGATGAGATCATTAAAGATGACAGGCGTGTGACTGGACACAGTAGCCCGAAAACTTGGAATAGGGCACAGTGCAGTACAGGAGATGATTGAAAGCTTGGGCTATAGGAAAGTTTGTGCTCGCTGGGTCCCGCGGTTATTGACCGAAGACCACAAAGGTCAGCGAAAAGCCATCACCTCAGAACTGCTGCAGAGATATCGACACGAAGACGATGATTTTTTGCTCTGTATTGCGACAGGTGATGAGACCTGGTTTCACCCTTTCGAGCCTGAAACGAAATGGCAGAGTATGGAATGGCACCATTTGCATTCTCCATCAAAAAAGAAGGCAAAGACAGTGCCATCAGCTGCGAAGGTGATGGGCACATTCTTCTGGGATGCAGAAGGGTTTATTCTGGCCGAATTCCTGGAACCTGGGTAAACCATCAATGCTGCTCTTTATGTCCAGGCGCTGCACAAGCTCCGTTGTGCATTCCGCGATAAACGTCCGGGACGAAACATCATCATCCTGCATGACAACGCTCTTCCCCACGCCGCTCGCCTCGCATTGGAAGAAATTGCAAAGATGGGGTGGGAAGTTCTTCCACACCCCTCATATAGCCCTGATCTGGCACCCTCCGACTACCATATTTTCGGATTTGTGAAGGATCAGCTACGTGGACAACGTTTTGAGACAAGGGAGGCAATTCAGAAAGCAGTGTCTTTGGATGGCTGGAACGGAATTTTACAGAAGGGGAATTTTCAAAGTCCCAGAACGCTGGGAGAAATGTGTACAAAGAAGTGGTGATTGTGTGGAAAAATAAAGAAAGGTCTGTAGATTGAGGTGGTGTATTTGGTTTGACAATAATGAAGCATGTTACTTTACAAAAAATTGTTGCTCATGACTTTCAGTACGACCCTCGTAGGTTTGTATGTGCAGTAGACGAATATCAGGGCCAGAGATGTACGCATAGACGTGCTTAGTTAATATGAGTACACCTATTTATACTTGGCTTATTTAACGACGATGTCAGGAGCCAAATCCATATATCGTTGGAGGGTAGGTTGACTAGGGAATATCGGATCGGAAATGATTGGAGAGGAAATGGCCATGCCCAAATTTTAGGAATTATCCTAGAATTTGCCTGAAACGGCTGAGAAAAGCCACGAAATAACTTACAGGAACCAGTGAGCGACTGAGATTCGAACTAGGTACATCTAAAATACTAGTCACAAGCGTTACAACTTGAGCCAACTTAATCTTTATGCTTTTACCCGTGATTAGTCACAAGCGTTACAACTTGAGCCAACTTAATCTTTATGCTTTTACCCGTGATCTGATTCTAGTTATTTAATAATGTAGGTATTAGATTTCGAAAGGTATAGAGGTGTATGGTCCAAATTATAGTCTACATATTTTCCAGGTATGTTCGTTACGACCCCATATGTAACATTTACCTAGTTTGGTTTTATATTTAGTTAAATACGCTTGATCACTTTCATGGCGTATAAACGTATTTTAATGGCCGTGGAAAATTTTGCTTGAGAACATCATGCCGTTTACATAGGCAGTAGCTGTGAGGGCATCTGAGTTGTAAAATCATAATTTGCCTGGTTTCGATCGATGTACGCTTTCATCCGGTCACTTGCCGTGACGTGTCGACCTTCTCTTGTCCTTCAGTCACCCGCGCAACACTTGTGCTTACCGCCATCTCTTTGCAGTTAACTTTTTTTTTTGTACGAGTTTCTGAATGGACATCGACCAGAACAGTGCATTCCACTAAATGTGCAAGATATGGCGTAAATAATCTTCGCTTCTTCACTTAATTGTTTATTTTTAGTCAGTGTACATTGCCATAACAATATTTCGCATTTGTTCTGAATAATGACCCTCGGGTCCTGCCGTGAGTAGGCACAATCGAATTCTGATATGTGAGGTCAGGAAGAGCGGAAAGAACTTAGGTGAACGAATCAAGTTTTGGAAATATGCAGCATGATACATGCACCGGAATATCAAGTTTTTTTTTCCGTGCATTCGGAAGAATGGAGTCTTGAAAATGAATTATGTGAATGGTGTTCGTAACTTCGGGTGCTGGGAACATGAATGCAGACGATGACGACCCCTAAAGAAGTCAAAGAGGGAGACACTGAGGAAGACTGGGCCATTTACGAGATTCTGTGTAAAGATTTGCCTACAGAGATGGTGAGAATCGCTTTGTATATTTAAGTATATTTGCTGACTCCAACACTAACGAATTACTATGACCAGGACTGCATCTATGATTTCGGAGAGTGTTTTGGAAAATAAATATATAAGATACGTGATTTTATTACGTCTACGTAAATTCCTAGATCAGTTTGCCTTGTCATTAAAGTTTATGTTAAGACTTTCATTGCAGACTCTCTTTTATATCTATAGTTATTGCAAAGACGTTTTTGATGTCCCAGTTTGGGGGACGGGAGTGATCAAGCTGTAAATGCAACAATTTTTATTTTGTACCTGCTGTATGAGCAACAGTGCCTGGATAATTATTAGATATGTGTGTTTCTCTATCTAAGTAAAGAGAGTGAATATATACATACTTTTTGCATAGAAATTGCTCTTGGTGTAAAAATATGTATTCAACTTAAATTTCTATTGCAGAGTTCTACATATTTCATTCAAAATATATTTCAAAGCTGCGACTATTTAATCATGACATCGCAAATTACCCCATCCGATTTCTATTCAATTATTTTCGTTGATTTGTAATACGACTAGACAATATTTTGTGCAAAAAATGTTCAGATAAACATACACCAAATTTGCGGCTCTGTCTGCTGTAAAACAGCTTCGCCATACAGGGCCGGCGCTACAGAACAGGCGAACCTAGCGATTGTATATGGCTGCACATTTTACAAAATCGTTTCTATTTTGTAAGATTTGAGGCTTTCACGGCGGTGACTATGAAGAAAGCAGTCTTCTGGGATTTGGCACCGTGTATATGTGGNCTTATATTTTGTTGCTGCTTCTTGTGTAAATCACTGCAGGTAATGTTTATTATATTCCTGTCAAAACAATACTCGTAGCAGGTGGAGTTGCTGTCTAGAACATGTTTCGGCACATGTATGCCATTTTAAGACACAATTTTATTTACAATTACAGTATCATGTAAAAGGTAAGGTAAAGTTGCCCCTGTGCTTAACAAATTAAGCACTTCGCCATGAAGGCATATGGGGGAATGAATGTATAGATACACATTTTCTTGACCTCGGCACTAGCTCGAGGTGAGCGGTCAGCTTCACGCCCCGGCCGCTGTCATGGAATAGGAGGTTGGGTGAACCCCAGAGCCTGTCTGGACAACATGGAGAAGAGAAAATTCTTGAACCTACTTGGGCTTGAACTCCGACTCCTCTGTCGTCCAACCCTTAGCCAGTCGCTATTCCGGCTCCCATAGTATCATGTACTTGGCTTCAATTTGCATGCAAGCGAAGTGGATCTACCGGTGTGTTATATACTATACACACAGTGTACTTTATTATATTATATCAGTTTTCCATTTGTATTTCATTTGTTCGATTAATTATTTGCTTTTGGTCAAATAAAACTTAGTTTCTGCTGATCTATTTTTCATGTTTTGACCATTAATCTGTAGTGATTTAAACATGTTATGGGAGAACGTAAGGAAAACTTATAAGGATTAGAACACCAATGACGATTTTTAACAGTGTCTGGTAATTTCGTATGACCAAGTTTGCAAAAAGTTGATCTGTTTTTAACTGAGGGCAAGGTGAGACTTCTCTTTGTCTGGAGTTGACTATCCCATCATCTGGAACGGAATTCAGGCTTACGCTTGTGCCGTCTCCTTAGACTTATTTATTTGGAAAAATTGTAAACTTCCACAGAATAACCGTTCTCCAGTTTGATTTCGAAACGGTACCTGCCGAATAGTTTACTGCAATGTTAACCGTTTCAGCGTTCTGTCTTTATTTTCATTGATATTATTGATCTCTTATAAATATTAAAATTTTATTCCATGTTTTCGACATATACTTCATGTCTCTGTGTTTGAAAGTGATTTATTTTTGACATCGTTGTCCCCAAACCAAAATCATACATAGGAAGCGCCGTGCTGTGGCGGCAACTTCTCTGTCAAAGGTGTTGTGCTTGTAATCTATACAGGCGAAGACAGAGTGCAAATGGCGCAAAGATATTTTCCATTCGTTTATTGGCGTGAAGGTGAAGATCGACACATTATAACAAGAGCCTAGTTTCTCATTAATTTCTTTTCAGTATTAAGCAATGTTTTTTCCCATTTTTACATTGTTATGTTTATTGATACTACGAGATGTGAATGAGACAGTAATTATAACGGTGAATGCGCATACCTAATTAAAACACATTGATATTGATTGTATCAAGGTCTTGAAATTTCGAATTACTAGCCATGCATGCAGGTTAGCAATGAGACTTACTGCAACGACAGTAAAATGTTGTACCGGAGTTCTTAAATAAGATGTATGCAATTACGTTATTGCGCGTTATTTACAAAATAAAAGAGAACGCCTTGCATGGAAATAATCTGTCTGTCCATATGTCTGTTTGTAATTCAGAATCAGAGCCTAAGTTTTGGACAGATTTTCTTCAATCCATTACTGAAGACTTCCACTAAACGTTGTCGGTAAATTCCTATTTCAGCTATATTGATCCATAATAAAGTCAGTTTGACTTAAGGTCATAAGTAACGTCACACGTAAGCGCATTAAACGGCCAAGAACGCCACTGAGATTTCTGTATGCTATATTATAGCAATACTTTTCATAGGACACACACATAAGCCGAAATGCGAAAGCATGAAAAAGTATAGGAATATTCTACACTCGAATGATGGATGTGAGTGGTCAGATTTAGACTCCGGCCGGGTTTACTGTCGGGAAAAGAAGCCCAGCATTGATTGGATAGGAGTCTTAATGAGTTCCAGAAGAGACCAAGCCGTAGTGGATAAGAGAAAGGTACCTGCCGGGAATAAAACCTCGACTGTCTAGTCCATATCCCATTCTTTTATGAACTGTCTTTGCATATATGCAGTGCATAAACACGGACACAGCGGAAACCTCTTATAATGTGACCAGATATGTTAGCCATGCGTTTAGTGTTTATAAGGTCTTTGGATCGAGTCCTCTCGCGTCAGGGTACCTTTGTTTTCTGTTTCCTCACGATGTGCAGTGAAGAGGGCCAGAGTTGGTCGATCGCCCGTGCCAGGCGGAGGTAAGCGGTGGGGAGCAGAGAATCGATACGAACGCAATTGTGAATAAACGGGGTAGACCTTCATTAAGAATTTTCTAGACTAAAGTTGCGCAGAGATAATACAAGGTGGGCGAAAAGCCTGAAGTCCACTGCTACTCTTTGTTGTTTCGAGTAAAGCAAGACTGACAATACAGAGTTATGAAAGAAGAAATGAACATTCTTCCGATAACCTTCAGATTAGACCAGAATTCCCAAAGTGAGAGCCGCTGCCATCTTAGGTAGCCTGAAACCTCCTGCGGCCGCCGAAAAATAGGTCTATAACAAATTTCCTCAATTAATTTTATTCCTAATAGGTCATATTAACTTACAAACATATATTGTAATATCAGTAGTACTTCTAGATACGTACGTTTATTCGTAACCATTTTTTAAATTACAAAATCATATTCTGAGTAATTATCAGGCGTCTTTATTCACATTTCACATCACCATAAATGAATTTGGCAACCAGTGGCTTAGACCATCAATACCAAGTTTCTTTGAAGTATATTGTCACGCGATTGAGTGTGACGGGTATGTATTGGTAATCGGATTTATTGGACATTTTCACAACTTGTGACTGCACTTTACAAATCACTATTACACAAAGACTAATGTTCTCAGTCACATTCTTCATCGCACTGCTTAAAACATCTTCCAACAGTGGAAGTTCCTACTCTCTCTGACTGGCGACCATATCCCACCAACCACCTACCCTTTCGTCGTCTCAGGACTCTTTCATAAGTCAAAGTCACACTGCGACTGACGGTCAGCCAGTCAGTAAGTCTTGGTGTCGAGCCCCGTCTGGGGCTTGTGACCAGATATTTATTACTGTTGAACATTACGGTTTTGTTTTTTGTGGGGCGTCCACTCTGACGAGCGGACGGGTCTATCTTTTTTTTACATGCTACTGGCCCTTGCCAGCGCAGTCTTTCTCGGGTCCGAGACCCTTGGGACTCGCGACCATATTTTACTGTCTCAGATTTGAGACTTCCCTTTTCGTCGCCTCCTACGACTCGCAGGGTCACGGTGGAGGAGGTATTCGACCCCGCCTCCACACATGGCAGCTGGTCCTCTTTATATAGCCTTGGCACGGACCACATAGAAAACAGCTTCCAACAGTTACTCCATTGTTATGTGTTACACAACCATTACCTAGCAATGGCTGTTTCTGTGGCTCCACAATTTTTGCTTTGAGCAAATATTGAGTGGACTGCTGTATGACATATGCAGACTTGCACTCACTTCATGCGGTGAGCCCAACGAACACATAAAAGAGTAAGACGATGATTAAAGTTTCGATCGAATTCTGAGATGTCACAGAATTCGAGAATTCTCATCATTTATGCATTAACCAATGTAAACTAACTACGGTCCGGAAGTTTAAGAACTATGCACACGATACAGATAAGCAAATAGGTCTACTCATATTTATTTCGGGAAATACATACAGACCTAAGCCATTAATATGTCTGTATTATTGAATTGTTTAACAGCGGACACCATCACTCTATCTGTCTCTCTCTCACACCGAGCTGGCTAGTGTAGTGGTAACGATGCAGATCTTTATTCAGGAGGTGCTCGGTTCGTATCTTGGGCGGGGCACCAGTTATCCTGACCAAAGTTATTGGTGGTTCCCCTCACTCCTTCCAGACAAGTGCTGGAGTAATACCTCGATTAGGCAACAACTGTTTTCTTCCAGATCCCTTCAGATTCATCAGTCATCATACTATTCGACTCTGTGTAGCCTAGATATCGATACTGTCGTAAAATAAGCTACAAGAAGACATCGTCTCTCTCTTTCCGACCTCCATTCAACCCTGTTTTCTGAATTATTTAATTGCAAGGCCTCCGCTTCCACTGCTTATTCGGAACCATCCTCCTTTTTGTAGCACGTATTTTAGGGCGCGCCATAGCTCAAGCGGTTAATCGCTGGT